CTATTGTCTTTCGCGACATGTACTTGCAGTGCCCATTTAATCAGCGGGCAGCATCATAATTTGCATATCCCGAACTAGTCGGTCGTGATTGGTCAGCAGGTATAGCTTTAAGAATACATGAGTCTCTTAGCAGATTTCAGCTGCTGTCAATCAAACGGTTGGAAGCGTAAAGTAAATCCCAAGGTGACATAAAGTGAACAATAGCAATAATTGACAATAGCCACGCTCTTAACAAAGCGTTTAGCAAATTCGTTTGCAGCGAATTCTTCTATGTACTAAGGGGTAAGTTTCTAAAGAAACTGTGGTGCTGCGTCGGTGGGAGAGTATAGCAGGTAATTTAGTATTAACAACTGGGTTGAAAACGTAAATTAGCCACCGTAAAGGGTAAAAAAGCTGACGTTTCGAGCGTTAGCCCTTCGTCAGAGCGATTATCCAATCGCTCTGACGGAGGAGTTAACGCTCGAAACGTCAGCTTTTTTACCTTTTACGGTGGCTAATTTACGTTTTCAACCCAGTTGTTAACACTAAATTATCTTCTATGTACTGACAGACTCCCGATGGTCAAAATGTTATCGGAATTATAAAAATTAGTTTCATGAAAATAGAAAATAGGAAAATTTAGAAAATAGTGTGCTGAAGAATAGGCAGTTTGAAAAGCGTAACTTGCGATCAGGCGGTTTTCAAGTGCGAAAGGCTTGCGGTTGCGGACTGACAACAAAAAAACGCCTGATTGAAGGTTATAAAAAGCGGTGCTCAGAAAGCCAGCTAGTCGGTGGTCAAGTGAAATTTTAATTTTATTTAATCTTTGTCTTAAATGTTGTTTTGGCGCGCCCCCGTATCAAAGAGAATAAGGAGCGCGAAAAAATGGCCTAACCACAGTTTTCTGGCGAGCGCGATGCGTGGGTCACTCGCTTTTACTGGACACTTGCGTTGTCATACTCCACTGAAAAATTTTGGTAGCTAAACAGGGCTTTTCTTCCTTGTTTAGCCTTCAAGAAGAAGAGTTGCGCGATGACAAAAAAAGACAACAACAACAATTGCAAAAGAGACTACGGTGGAACCCGTAAATGCGGCCACCAACGGGCAATGGAAATCTATCCGTATTGACGGGAGTAAAAGCATATCACTCACTTGTACTTCACACTCGCGCTCTTTTACTCCCCCGATTAACGCAGTCCGACCAAACAGAAGAAAAAAACAAGCTAACTAACCAACAAACGGCCGCCACGAACAGGTTGACGGCCGAGGGAACAGTTACATAATTATTCACAGTTGGATCCGTTTTGATTAATTAAAACATGTATATAAATAGTACAGTTTCATTCAAGCCAATCAGTAGCTAAAACTTATTTGCAACAACATGTCGAAGCGTGCGAGACATC